GATCAAAGTAACACACACATATACATATACAAATTCACATGTTTGCGTGTGGGTATGTCCCAAACCTTTGACAATATGAACCTATTGTCGAGACATAACTGAAAAAGAAATGATTAGTGTAGAAAAATAAAATGCGAAAATAAAATAAGACAAATAAAAAGGAACATAATTACTTTTATTGTTATATTTCTTCTTCTTCTGGTTACATTATAATGAAAATGGAATACATATTTATAGAAAAATTAAGAAATGAAGTAAAAAGAAAATATAGATACAATAGAAACAAATCAGATACACAATATTTGGTATAATGATATTGTATCTATTATTATTCTCCATCATATCTCAAATCTTATTTTACTCCCATCACATATTTATTTTTCCATTTTAATATTCTCCCTCATGATTGACTTTGAAAGAATGAAAAAGTCAATCTTGAATTGATAATGTTATAAACCGTCCAGACATTTTCATTGTCTCTGAAAAAATTTATAAACACCAAATTTTATTCTTTTAGAGAGCATTAACCATTTTCAGGGGTATATAGGAATGTATTGTTCCTACAATATTATCATTAATATAGTTACAATTTACCCTAAATATTATACCTAGAATATTGTATTATATTTTGCTATATATTAGAGTGTAATCTTTCACTCATTAATAATAGAAAAACATTTTCCCTATTATATATAATCCTATATTTTGAAGTTCTTATTATTCAAACTTTATTTTTATAATAGTTAAAAACACAGTATTTATGTATCTTTTATAATATATACTCAATCATTCAGTGAAAATGTTAGGTTTTTACGTTAATATGGAAGAAAAGTTGTGAAATGTGATGGACAATTAATAGATAGTAATTTATAATTACAAGTGATCTGTAAAGTGATATTGTGTTATATTGATTTCAATTATAAATTATTTCACATGTAGGCGATATAATATATATATATAGTTTTTTTAAAAAATTTAAAATATTATCTAAATATTTGATCATACACAAATTATATTTTTGCAGTGTTTAGATATTAAATAAAAAAAATTCAGAAATATAATTTTATTCATCCTAAAATCTATTGTTGCAGATTTCGTCCCGTAGTAATTTATATTGGAATTATATATATAATAAACTTTTGGCAACCACATTTTTCCACCGGCCGACAACTTATGTTTTCCGACGGCATTACTCATTCATCAATCATCGAACGATAAAATAATTGGAAAATATCTCATTATTGTAATAATAATTACGAAGACTAAGGTGATGACTAGGAATTTTACTGAAATATTACAAACACAAGTGTGTCTAAAATTGATTTTACAAAATTAACACGTGGCAATTACCCAATTGAGGTGGGTCCCATGTTTGGCGGCTCTCGTGGATTTTAACGTACAAGTGTTAGAACACGAATCGTATCTTGATAACTTGTGGCATATATCATCACACCTTTATTATTATTATTATTATTATTATTATTATTATATTGTTGTTATTATTATTATATTTTTATGGAGCGTAAATTTCGATATATATCATTGATTCATTGATATGATGTCAGTGGTGGCGGATCCAGAAATTTTTTTCAACGGGGGCAACAAATATAAATATGATATAAAATATAAAAAACTAATAAAAATATATTATCAGAAAAATATTTTTCATTATATAGCTAAATTCTCCGATCTTTCATTTTTTTAAATCTATCCCTAACAACTTCATTTATAATTATCTCAAACATATTTTTTTCGATAAAACAAATTAGAAAATCACTCAAAGGCTGATCACCAATCCGATTACGCAAAGTTATTTTAACATGACTAAAAACTGTCATATAAATGAGCAATTTTGAATTTATTCCGTTAAATAGATCATTAAATTTTGGACACTGTAAATTTTTTTGAGAAATTTCTCAATAGATTTCTCTGTTAAATCAATTATGAGATTTGTATAAAAACAAATTTATTAATATGATAGATATTTAGAAATAAATGAATAAAAGATAAAAAAAAATATTTAAAATAAAATCCAGAATACTTACATATTTTTGTTGGTTTTAGTTTTTTGGATTTGATTATTATTGGATTTTTATTTTTTTATTTGATAAAAGATTAAACAGAATTAATTTGGAGTTGGTAAAGAATATAAAAAATGAAGGAGAATGTGAAATTGGTAGAAAAAAAATTGAAAAAAAAAAGATTTAGGGTTAAAAAAATGAGGGGGCACCACTTAATTTTTAGTGGGGGCATTGTTATAATTTAATTAAAACTATAAGTAATATTTTTTTTTTTTAAATGTGAATGGGGGCATGTGCCCCACTTATGTGCAAGTAGATCCGCCCATGTATGATGTACTCTCGAGTCTCGACTTTGATTTTGTAAAAATTATTTTTTAGAAACTCAATAATTCAAAGAAAACGACCGTAATTACAATATATATGAAAGAAACCGATAAGGATTGAATAGAAAACATATGAGTTACTTTCATTTCGAATGAACAAAAAAAAGGATTATTCGTAATCTTATAGTGAATAATTAGATTTAACAAAAAAAACATCACTTTCAAATATCTGCAATTCTTGTATAGATATTATATCAAATATATAAGTAAACTATATAAATTTATTATTTAAGGCGGATAAGACAATAATATATATGATTAGTTTTTATTGAAAATATATGAAATTAATATTAGATTTTAGTAATTTTATATGAATTAATTTAAGCAATCAAATATTCCTTTTAACGGTATTAAAAACATAATTATAATACATAGCTCTACTGCTATATTATTGGCGTGTATTCTATTGCGTTATATTAATAATAAATTAACAAGGTCCAATATCTGCATCATGACAAATAAAAATTCGTATTCATATCCATCTACACGTGTATATCTATATAAATAAATTCGGATTTCAATATCATATTCCATATAGATTCTACGCGATTATTGTGAGCGTAAATATTCATCTTAATTCATATTTATTTATATTTATTTTTGTTTTTTAGGAATTCAAATATTTCCATGCAAACAATGTCAACATTATGAATTAATTATTAATCACGCTTTTTCCGGCCACCAAAAGATGATTGGGCTTAATTTCCACGTAATTCAAATCAAATCACAACAAGAACAGACAAAAGCTAGGCGGGACGAAAATGCAAATACCACGGTCCTGAAGGGCAAATCCGGAAATTCACAAGCTCAATGATTCGATTTCTGACTGGATTTCTCCTATATAAAGGCTTCACCTTTCTAAGGATCAAAGACTTACCCGAATAACAATAACCTTCAGCGATCATATCCCTAAACTCCAATCACGTAACCGGATCGAAAAATGACCAAAATACCCCCGTATCCCGTCGAAAACCCTAGCCTCGAACCCTACGAGACCCGAAAACGAAGCCCTAGAAGAGGAATTTCGCCCTTTTCGATCATCTTCTCCGTCTTTACGTACATTTTGATCTTTTATGTCTTCAACGTCTCTCCTTCTTCGATCTTCAAAGACTCCAAGATCTTGTTCATCATTTCCAATACCCTTATCCTCATCATCGCTGCCGATTATGAAACGTTCACCGATAACGAAAAACACGATCTTGATCGTGAATATGCGAAGGCGAAACCCTCTCCGATGTTTGCACCCACATACCGTGAAAACCCTAGAATGAAAAACGGAGAAATCGACTGCCTTGCAGAAGAAGCAACCTCGAAAGATATCATTTGTATACCGTCATCTCACGAGGAAGTTCCCGAGAAAATACTTACTTTTGTGAGCGAAAATCCACCCGAGAATGCAACCCTCGAAACCTCAAGCCATCTGCTAGTTCAGAACGTTGACGAGGAGAAACCTTGCGACGCACGTAACATAGTAAACCCTAAACCTAAACCTAACCGCAGGAACAAGCCGGATAAGGTACGGACCGGACAGAAACTGAGACATGTAAGAGAGGGAAGATACGATGGAAGCGGAACGGATAGATCGAAATGGATGATTGTTCATCGGAAATCGGCGGCGGGAAGGAATATAACGACGGATCAGAAATGGGAAAACGTCGAGGAAGAGTCGGAAGAGTTTTCGAAAATGTCGAACGAGGAGTTGAATAGAAGGGTCGAAGATTTTATTCGACGGTTCAATGAACAGATGAAATTACAAACACTTAGAAATCGCCAAATCTCGTCGTAATTAAAAATAATAATAAAATAATTTTGGTCATCTTCTATTTTATTTTTTTATTTTTTTCTTTGGCTTTGTCATGTCGTCTTATGGATTTTTCTTTAGAGTTTGGTGATGGCATTATCATTCTTGCCCGTGAAATTTAACCTATTAGGGACTTTTTTGTTTCTTTTTTCTTGCTTTTAAAAATATTTTCCTGAATTTTTTTATTTAAAATTATATCCATTATATAAAAAAATATCTTTATTTTTCTATTTTAATTTCACCTCATACCTTTCTATATTTTCCCATATGTGATACTATGATCAAAATTGCAGTCTGGTTATACGTTGGTCATAATAACCATAACGTTAAATTTATAATATTCCTATTAAAGTTAGTTCAACAGAAATAATGAACTCTATTAGCATAAATACAGTTGTATAAGTGTGTATGTATAATTGATGTTGTATTTAAAGAAAATGTCTTGTACATCGCAACATTAAGTTCGAATAAACAGAAAATTTTCATTCTCTCTCTTGATTCTGTTTCTCTCTCTAAAATCAGAAGCTTTCAATCTTTGATCGTGCATATGACATCAGAGGCTGGTGTTGTTGGAGATTAGCCCTCCCAATTATCTAACCCCGAGAAGAATCCTAGATAAGATAGGAATCAAAGGTAAAAAGCACAGAGTTATACAACTGTGTGTATGCTAACAGAGTTCGTTATTTTTGTTGAACCACCTCTAATAGTTACTATCAAATGATTAGTGAGATATATAAGAAATGAATATAATGAATTAGTATGATCACCAGAAATTTTAATGTTATGACCAATATATGCCCAGATTATAATTCTGATTACAGTGGTCAAGGATTACAATTGGGAAAAGATATGAGTTGAAATCAAAATAGTAAACGGAGAATATTTTTTTATAATGTCCCCTTAAAATAGATTGAAATTAATCAATATGTGAATGTTGAGTCTGAAAATTACTCAAAGTCGGATGTATGAGTACACATAATATCCGTGAGCTCGAATTTTTATTTCAAAATTCGGGTGCATACTTATATATCCAATAAAATTGTAAAATCATTCTTAATAATTATATTAATAAATTACGAGATTGTCTTTAATATTTTTAAAAAATATAAAATTATCGATTATATTTTTTGAAAATTACTAAAACACGCCATTTATTTATTCAAACAAATACAAAATTATGTTTAGCTTTTTTTAAAAAAGAAAAAAAAAATCAAATTCAGCCTCGCGGCTCATATAATATTGGGCTAACGTAACAATGGGCCACAGCCCTTAGGCCCATTTTAGGAACAGCCCACAATAAAGTGGTCGGTAAGCTCAATAATTATATTTCAACATCTCTAAACTTGATTTTAATTTTAATCATTGTGATTTGTTTTGGAAAATAATTTCCTAGATAGGGTTTAAAAAAGTACTCGAAATTTTGACCTAGACGATTGGAATCTAATTCAAATAATTAAAGAAAAAAAACATATGAAATTGTTAAAAAAATATATATAAATATTCCATTATTTGAAACATATAAATAAATATATAATTTTTTTGTGAAATAGTGATAATATACAAATATATCTGATTTTTAAAATAGGAATGTTGTTTAAGGCCATCACTCTGAAAAAATATATTCAAACAATTATTGTTTTGATGAAAAATGGATAATATTTTGGAGATTTATATATTTATATGAAAATATTATTGATGTATTTATAGATTAAAAAAAGTTCATTTATGTATTCTTATGAGATTTTTTTCCCTAAAATAAATAGATATGTGGGATTTATTTAATAAAAATATATATTATCTATGGGATAGAAAACCCTATTAACTCTATTCATACATCATTTTATCCGACCAAAGCTGTTTTTATTCCTCAAACAAACCAAAAATCAATATCCAATATGAACATTAAAGATAATAATAGATAAAAAGTTCTTTCAAAGTAGCTTTTTCAAGCACTATTTTTTCAAAGATTGGAAAAAAAACAAGAAAATGATTTGCATAAAGTTTTTATAAATTATCTTTATATTTTGTACTTTAATAAATCATGATAGTCTTTTGGTCCCATTTCTTTGACACATATTTTTTTTTTTTCAATTTTGTTAGAAAAAAAATTCCAACTAAATCTTTTGAGATGTAGAATGCAAATTAAATTCACATGTTTCCAAAAGCCGAAATTCAAGGAAAAAGGAGAGCCCTATCTTTCTAATATTATGGTATATATCTAATAGGGGACATATTCTTTGAGATCGTCCCAAAAATATTATTTTCATCCAATGCATACAAATTTAGTAAAAAAAATGTATTCAATATATATATTTTTAATTTTTTTCGTGTAAAAGAAATACTTAATCAAATATAAGTAGGATTTTTGTTCCGCTAAAAAAAGGTATCTATATACCTTAAATATATTTGCCAAATCATAATAGAGAAGTAAAAAAAAAAACTATATAATAATGTAAAATAAACAAGATTTTTTAAAATCTTGAGGTGAAATAGTTAGTTTGTTTTACAAAAAATCACAATCTATGCTTCTGTAAAAAATATATAATCGCTGCAGAGTATATAATATCTCAGATAAATAGTACAATTATTCACTATCAAAATAACTAATGTCTACATAATTCAATTCAATTTCGACTCGAAATCCGAAATTCGGTCCGGTCCGATCCTAAAAATAACGGACTTCGGGTCGAGATATTTAGGTCTAAAAAGTTTTGGATTTTTGGGTCGGGTTTAGGTTGGAATTCGGATTAGTCTAACAACCCGAATTTTAAAAAAAAAATAAAAAAAAATTCAAAGAACATTTTTAATAGGCCGGTTCGACCCGATCCAGACTGAACCCAAACCTAATGTCTATAGGATTGAGCTTCAGATTTGGTAATTTAGATTCAAAAAAAAATTGTACCGGTCTGAACCCAAACCCGAAACTTCGGATCAAGTGTACGTTCGGGTCAGATAGTCGGACCGAACCAATCCGATTGACACCTCTATAGTTCACCATGTTTGTTGGTCATTTTTATTTATGACAATGAAATAATTTTTTTAAGAATATTTAGCAACATTATATAAATGCAGATTTATTTATAATTTGATTAAATTTGGGTAGGAAAATGTTATTTTCTCTAATAATAATAATAATATGAATAATGAAATGCATAAATGCAGAGTTATTTGTAACTAGGGTTTTATTATATGCCCTACAATTGGTGAATTGAATTCGATTTTAATGTGCACCAAACAATAATGAGTATCATTAATTGCAATTAAAGATAAAGATTTAGGAAATTAATTATTGTCCCATCAAATGAAATAGACCACCATTTTCATAAATAAATAAATAAACAAATACCTCTCAGAATCCGAGAGAGAGAAAAAAACTCATTGTCATCTTCATCTTCATCTTCTTCTGTGAATACAGACAAAAAATCAGTGGATCTATCTATCTTCTTCTTCTTCTTCTTCTTCTTCATCGTCATCCATGGCGTCTTCTCTTTCTCCTCGTATCTGCCTCCATCTCTGAGCGATCAACCATGTCGTATCTTCTTCTTCCAGATCCCATCTCCCCGATCCAACCGGTGATGGCTCAATCCTTTGAATCCGCCGCCGTCGACCACTTCGATCGCCTCCCGGATTCTCTCCTTCTCCTCGTCTTCGACAGGATCTCCGACATCAAGGCTCTCGGACGATGTTGTCTCGTCTCCCGGAGATTCCATTCCCTCGTGCCCTTGGTTGAGAACGTCCTCGTCCGCGTCGATTGCGTCATCTCCGACGACGATTCCTCTTCCTCCGCCGTTGATGATCCTCGTTCCGCCTCCGCCTCCGGTGCCGGTGCCGCCGCCTCCTTCTCCGATGCCGCCGCTGGTGGCTCTTTCTCCTCCTTGTTCAGGCTCTTCTTCGGTCCGATTTTCAAGCCGTTTCAGGCGCTAGGTCAGTTTCTGGGTCCGAAGCGATCGTACCTCGACTCGTCGGCATTCGGAAATGGCAACGGAGGCGGCGAGATCGATCAGGGCGGAGTCACTCATCACTCACCGACGCAGGTTCTGAGGAATTTCAACGAGATTCGGTTTCTGAGAATCGAGCTACCGAGCGGTGAATTGGGGATTGACGATGGGGTTTTACTGAAATGGAGAGCTGATTTCGGATCCACGCTCGACAATTGCGTGATCCTTGGCGCATCGTCGGTGTCTCGAGCGAATCCCGTCAAGAATCACGAGAATTCCGTCGATTCATCCTCCATTGATGACATCGGGAACATACCTGAGTCGTTCTACACCAATGGCGGACTGAAACTTCGCGTAGTTTGGACGATCAGCTCGTTGATCGCCGCCTCGGCACGGCATTATCTGCTTCAGCCGATCATCACAGAACACAAAACACTTGACCGTCTGATTCTGTCGGACGCGGATGGACAAGGCGTTCTCAGTATGAACAGAGAACAGCTCGAGGAGCTTAGGGTCAAGCCATTGTCTGCTTCCTCTGCTTCGAAGCGAACCCTCGTGCCTGCATTGAACATGAGGCTATGGTATTCCCCGCAACTGGATTTGCCCGATGGAACAGTGTTCAAGGGCGCGACATTGGTGGCCATTAGACCGAGCGAATCGAAGGAGGAAGCGTGTGATGATGATGATGCTTCTTGGTTATCGGATTCGTTCGAGGAGCCGTATGGAACAGCGGCTAAGATGTTGATCAAGAGAAGGACTTATTGTCTGGAGATGAACTCGTTCTGAATCCGGATCATGCCCAGGTTTCAGGTACATTGCTTGATCAAACCCGTGATCCATGATTCGATTCATTGCTTAGTACTCATTAATAGTTTGACAGTGAGATTGGATTGATCATATGATCCAAATAAGGTTCGAAAATGATGATCAAAAGTTGAGAATTAGAGATTATGATTGTAGTTTGAGTATACCCTTTTGGTCACAGCTTCATTCTCGTGGCGAATTGATCGGATTTCGGTGGATCCATACTGTTGGATCTGCAAAGCTTGAACATAATTCTTTAGTTCAATTCAAACCCAATGGCTAGATTCTGGTTAAGGGATGAGCAGAGGTATATGAACACAAGTCAAATGGAAACTTTTCTTAGATGTCCCTCACTTCCAAAGCTCTCTCATCTTCCATTGATGAATGTCGCAGTTTGTGGAACAATGAGCTGTGAATCATCGATAATCGATTCATCGAATGAGTTTAAATATGCAAAGTAGTTTTGTATGCATGCATGTATGTATGCCTTGGTTACTAATCTCATATAGGGTCGTCATGGTTTTGATAACCATGAAGACTTTCGGTTCATATAGAGTTTTAGATATTAGTGTGTTTTCTAGCCAAAGGAAGCACATGAATCACCTTGGTTACTAAATCTCACATAGGGTCGTGATCGTTTTCCAGGGACTGCAAATGCGAGATCCGTCATCGGAGATCGGAGATTGGAGATAGGGCGGGTAGAAGACTCCGACAACATTGGAAGTTAAACACAGGACAGGAACATCATCGGAACTGGTCGAGTAGATAACCCCTTCTCGGATCGAGGGTCGTCTTCAGCCTCGTAAAAAGCCTTGCTCGGGTATCCGCGGGGCGGGCGGAGGAGAAAGAGCAAGCGAAGCGAGAGCACCTGTTTGTGAATCTAACAAAGAGCCTTTCTTCCATTGGAGAAAATATAAAGGTTCTTGCTTGGATATTGCCCTGAAAATGGGACTTGGAAATGGAATAATATGATCTTAAGACAAAGAATGTTAGTGTTCCTAGTTTTTTTTTTGGGGGGTCGTTGTCCGTAGAAAAAAACCGAACCATATCGAAACGAAAAATGTGATTCCCTTCTCGAATCGAAACATCTAAAATTTTCATAATGTAATATTTTTGAAAAATCGATTTTTTCGGAGTTCGAACCAAATTTTTAGTAGACTCAAAAAATCGAAAATTTGTTAAAAAAAAATCTAAATTTTTATTAATAAAAAACCGAAAATTTGTTAAAAAAATCTAAATTTTTATTAATAAAAACTGAATCGAAATGAATCGAACATGAAATAATAATCGATTAGTATATATTTTGTATAAAAGAAAGAATCGAATCGAATAATTTTTAAACCGAACTCGAATTGAATACCGAAATATCCAACCTAGAGATGTCAAAATGGGTCGGGTTATACGGATCTACTCAATCCGATCCACTTATAAACCCAAATAGTTAGCCCATTTGGTTAATTTTTTAAAATGGGTTAAATGGTTAACCCATTAAACCCATTATATATTTAGTTAAAATTAAACTCATTTTGTAACTAATTAAAATTGTTATATTTAGATATATAAAAATTAATATATATAGATATTTATATATATACATATATATGTATATGAATTAAATCGAAATATTGGTCTCGTTTTCGAATATAATCGTACCGAAAATTTCGGTTTCGTTTTCGAATCGAAGTGTATCGAAAAATTCGAATCGTGTCAAAAAATTCGATACTGCTCCGAATCGTACCGAAAAACTCGGTGTCGTTTTCTCATCGCCGAAAAAGTTGAATCATATAAAAAACTCGGTACCGTTCCGAATCGAATCGTACCGAAAAACTCGGTGGCATTTCCGAATCGAATCATGCCGAAAAATAGGAATCGTATAAAAAATCTGATGCCGTTTCGAATCGAATCGTGTCGAAAAATTCGAATCATACCGGAAAACTCGACACCATTTCTGAATCGAATCGTATTGAAAAAACCGGTGTCGTTTTCGTAACGAACCGTTCAAAAAATCTAAACGATAATATTTTTAAAACATGGAATCGAATTTAAAAAATAAAAAAAGTATGATTTTTTTAAAAGAAATGTATAATTTTTGTTATAAACTATCGAATTTTGTATATATTTTTATTGAATCGATAAACCGAATCGAATATTAAAATGATAATTTTTAGGTTATATGATTATACATATTAATAGTTATACATATGTATAAGCAATTTGTGAATATATAAATGGGTTTATATAGTTTATACGCGTTTAATGGGTCGATCCAACCCAACTCACTATTATTAACGGGTCGATTCAACCCAACCCGTTTATCCTTCAAATCCAAATGGGTTGGTCAACCCAACTGACATCACTAATCAACCTAAAGTAGATGGATGTTGTTGATAATCTATTCGAATTTGATATTATATTATATAATTTTAAAAGAATCGATTCTAATATAAAATTCGAAAGGTTTCAATTTTAAAAAAAAAAGAACGAAAGAAAGAAAGTGAATTTAAATCGAATCGAATGGAATGGAGGAAACCGCATTTATAGTTTTTCTAAAATAATTATAATTAAATTCTAATATAAACAAATCAAAACCTAACCAAAATCCAAAATATATTTTTTAGCCTATGGAAATAACTTGATAAATAAGATTTTATCTATTTTGCAAAAAAATCCGTATCATATGTGGTGTAAAAGTGAAATAAATATAATTATTTTAAAATAAAAAATCGAATCCAAATTAGTTTTAATGGAATATAAAAAACAACAAATAAATTAAAATAAATACTTTTTATTAAAAAACGAACTTTTAATAAAACAGGATTAAATCGGACTTTGAATAAATATATATTTTCTTAAATTGAAAAACCCAAAAAAAATAATTGATAAAAACCATAGGATTTATTTATAACTTTAATTATCTGCGATTTAGGGTTTATGCCTAAGCGCCTTATAGTGGAGAGAGTAGCCTCCCCCTCCTGCAGTCGCATACTCCGGCGAAGTGTCGCTGCTGGCGAGTTTCTTCCCGCCGTCGGTGACCGGAGATCATGGTGGCGTTCAAGAACAGGTACCTGTTAATGGAGGTTTTTCTGGATCCCGACAAGGATCTTCTGGGAGAACGAAGCCCCATCAATCTTACACAGCTCAATCTCTCTGAAGCTATCCGAGAGAGTATTCGCCTTAACTTTGGCGAATGTGGTCTCGGTTCTTCTCAAGGATCGTTCCAAGGTAATATATATAATCCTTACAGCTTCGATATTTTGTGTTCTTCGTCTTCGTGTTAATTCGGATTGTTCGGGTTCTAGGGTTTCGATTCGTTTGGTGATTTTGGAGCTTTTTTTCATCCGATTTTGATTTGAGAGAATGCTTTAGTGAATCAGAGATTGTGATTTCTGAATGATGTAAAAGTCGATAGCTTTCAGATGAAACTGGATTTTTCTCAGACGGGGTTTGATCTTCTACGCACTAATTTGTGAAGGGGAAATTTCTGAATTCTAAAATCACATCTTCAGGTTTCTGAATTCTGCTTGATTCCAATTTTCTAGCCATTGTTATGTTCTAGGAGGAAGATAGATGCCATTGCCATATCCCTTTCCATTCCTTGATCTTTCTCAGTTTCAGATTAATGCTGGATAATGCTTGGTTTCATGATTCCTTCATTACATGATCTGTCTCTGTATTAGCTTTCTGGAATGAATGATCTCTCTGTTGAGAATTTCATATTTCGAATGTCCTCTTACCCGAATATCCTCGTCTTGTGTATAACCTCGTGCTTGCAGTTAAATACGTGAATCCGATCACGAAGTTATTCATAGTAAGCGTATCGAGAGAGGATTACCGACACGTTTGGTCTGCAATGTTCATGATTCCTTCATTATATGATCTGTTTGTGTAATGAATGATCTCTCTGTTGAGAATTTCGTATTTCGAATGCCCGCTTACCCATCTTGTATATAACCTGGTGCTTGCAGTTAAATACGTGAATCCGATCACGAAGGTGTTCATAGTAAGAGTATCGAGAGAGGATTACCGACACGTTTGGTCGGCAATGACGATGGTTAGAAGCGTCGGGAACTGTCGTGCGGTGCTGAATCTGCTCGATCTATGCGGCTGCATCAGGGCGTGTAGAGAGACGGCCTTGAAGTGCGAAGAGGCGAAGTTCGAGCAGCGGAAACTCATGTCGAAAACGAACTTGACGGACGAGGAGATTCAGCGGATGAATCTCTGTCTCGAGAGGATTAAACTCTTGGAGAACTGATTTATTTTCTGGGGATCTTTGATCGCTTGTCTTCATACATTTTTTTTTTAAAACCCATTGGAAGTGTATAATTTAGAGTACGGTGTGTGTACAGATTGTAATGTTCGGATAAAAACCTTAGTTTTGTTCATGTCTGAAAAACTAAGCCGAGTTATTTTGATCTTAGAAAATTTTTGAAGATTAGGTTTTTGTATTGACTTCTGTTTGATTTTAGAAAATTTTTTATTATTCGGTTTTTGTATCGAATTCGGTATGATTTAGGTATTCGGTTTTTATTGATAAAAATATTTATTTCTAAAACTTGGTTTTTTCGGATTTTTTTATTTAATTCGATTTGGTTCTATTTTTGTTCCGTTTTATTTATGTTATTTTTTTATTAGCAAAAGTATTAATTAATAAACTGTTTTTTAATTTATTTTCCATTCGATTTAATTTTAGTTTTTCGATTTAAAAAAGTTCATGATCATTTGGATTTTATATCGAATTACAATTCTAAATTATTTGGTCTACATCCGTTTGTTTATTGGGTTATTAATCAAATGGACCAATATCCTTTATTTAAAACAGATACTAAAGTGCAATATATCAACAGCTTTTTTTGTTATTATTTTAAAAAAAAATCTATTTATTGGATATTATGTGATAAAAAATTATAGATATTTGATAATTAAAATTTTATATATCTTTTGACAAATTTTGTATGATTCATGTCGTGGAATTTTACCGAATTGTATAAAATCGATGGCATCAATTGTTTAAAACTGCACCGTAATGATATTACACATGCATTAATTAATGTCAACATATTATTAATCTCTCAATTATTTCTCATTAATAATAATAATAATAATAATAATAATAATAATAATAATAATAATAATAATAAAAATAACTATTATCATCTAATTTAATGTAGAAATCCATCACAATTGCAAAAAGGCTTCATACTTTCTTTCATGGAAACAAATGTAAGATATTACACAAAACTTTATGGCATATGGAAATCTCTAACCATCCTGCAAAGTTTGAAGTTTTAACACAACAAAACCTCTGATGTTTCACCAGAAACTGGATTTCTTACACTTAAAACAGTTTCCCCTAAGCATTGGATTCATGTTCGGATTCGGACGAAGAAAGATAGTCTTCGGCCTGAAGACTCGGAATCGAGTCGTCGTCCGAATCATCTCGAGCTTCTTCTCCCGTCTTTTCCTTTGCCAGGGCCATTGCATCCATCAGACTGTTCTTCACCGGTCTGTCTCTCTGGTGACTCGAATCTACGTGTTGGATCTCTGCATTTTCAATTTCGGCCGAATCTCCTTCGAGAATAGTAGCAGTTTCATCAGAGGCGTGCCCCCGAGCCCTTTCGGTTGATTCAGGAACATCTTCTTGAACATTCTCAGGCTCGACCATGGCTACATCATCTTGAACGTTCTCATACACAACCGTAGGTACATTTTCCCCGAGTTTCAGTTTCTTGATTTCGGGGAGAGATACGGTTGTCTCTGCAGCTCTCTGATTCTCAGTGTTAGAGGTAATGTCATCGGTTTCAAGCCACCTGTTGCATAGATCGTCATCCTCATCGAGAAACGGGTGATCGGTCATACCGTTCCCGATACCATTCGTCTTGTTCGAAGTTAGCAGGTTGCGCCTTTGTCCTTCAGGGTATCGGTTGGTAAGGGATGGGAGATCGTCGAGGGGAAGTGCCCTAGGGTGTATGAGAACTTCGAGGGACAAGAGAGCGTGCGCACAGAATTCAGCAACCTCCATTTCCGACTGTAGTTTACCTGACAAAAAAACCCATGTTTCAGTTCTAAACTCATGTTTCTGACTTTCGTAAACTCCAAACTATGCCGATTTTTTAGTTACCTATTCGGAAAAGCTCAAGCCCTTCGGCTAGAAATGCAGGCCGGAGACGTGAAGGAGACAGAAGGGATGCTAAAAGGGCACGGAGTGAGGCGAGCTGAAACTCCACTGGACCTAAAATGGATTCACTGGGAAGGAATCGGGTAGAATAAGCGTCTGCCCATCCCGAGTTACAAGCATTTGATGCTGCCGCCATTAAAAGACTGTCAATGTTTGCTCTCCAACTCTCAGATCCAAAAGCACCACCCTGCAAATCCAACCAGACAAGAATGTGTAACTTATGACAATTACTTCGTTTTTCATAAAATGGATACAGAGGCCATATGTTTTCGGAAAGGAAGGTAAATAGCCACAAGAGAGAGAGATTCAGACATGTAATATTTCAACAAGAGGAACTTAAAATGGATATCCACAAGAGTTCAACATTCATGGTGACAAAGAAGTGAAGAACTTACAATGGTGAGCAGAGTTTCCAATGCCTCGAGGGCTGCTATCTTTAAAGACAAAGGGCTGCTCGGATGATTATCCGGGACTGCCACTTCTATAGCATCATTATGTGGTGTGATATCAATTCCGGTATTAGCCTTTCTCTTTTTACTGTTTCCACGAAGAACCATCTCGTTAGAAGGTTTTGGATTTTTGCTGGACAGTGCGTCACAGCCTTCAGCACAGATGGTTAGATCTGCAGTAGCATTCGTGACAACTTCCTGAGCCAGATGCATTGCCATTCCTGTCCAGAGAAGGTCATAGGCAGAAGTGTCAGCCTGATTTTAATCACCCGAAAACTCAGAGGCAAATTACTAGCAACACAGAAAAAGGCCATCAACTTCAGCTATATTGCAAATAATAGCAACACAAATAATCCTGGAATGATCCATCATGAGGTTGAGGTATCTCCTTTCCTGCCCCTATTGACCTTATGAACTTTTCCCTGCAAAGATGCATCCTTAGAATAGGATGCAAATTCCTATTTACAGATCAGGATCTTTACTATTTCAGTTCTTCCATGAGGTCAGGGATCAAGGTATTGCAAGACAAGTTTGCGAGGATACACTATACAGTAAAATTTCAAAGGTATGAAAAAAAGATAACTTCCATGTTCTAAGATGCAAAAGCAAGAATATCTCATGGAATTACCTACACCCATGGATATGAGCAAGGTTTTAGTGATTGAATAGAGCTTTATCCTCAATTCTGGCAAAGAACATTTCCTGAAGTAACTTGTAACAAGTCTTATCACAGATGCAGCGTGCGGTAAAAATTGACTGCAAAAAGAATCACAACACGAATAAGTTATATAAGGGCATGGCTAGGTGCAATAGGAATGCGTGTCGGAACAACTAAAAATAATATGAAACGAAACTATAGCTCGTGACAAAATAGTAGAATATGCACTGGATCTGCATCCTCACAGAATTTCGATAACAAAGAGATGTCTCACAGTCTCAGTAAAACAGTATCAGTTGAGTCGAGAACTACCCAAAAAATTTCTTGTACTGTTCAGTAGAAAATCAGTGAAATTCAAGTTGGGATATATTTGAAATAACCTTTTTAACCTCAGTATAAAGGCCCGGTTATATTATTGTCAAAAAGTATTTGACTTTACTGAGGGAATGAAAAGAAAATGGCTTACCTCCGAATACTCTTTATAGTAGTAAGCAAGAGGTCCAGAGCAGAAGAATGCAAAGTCGGAAGTTCAGCACAAACCAATTCTTGTTGGATCGCCGTCATGAAGGGTGACATGGCGCGTGGTAAAGAGCCATTCACTGACAGCACTCGCTCAATAAGGAATAATATTGAGCGGATTGGAATATTCACCTGATGGGTAAGGAAGGAATATCAAGATCTTCAAAAACAATATGATGGATTTGGAGCAAGTGTTTACTTTGAATCCAGAGTAAACAAAAGGGATCGCACAGACAGACTTAAGCAAGGGATTATGAGCCATTGACCTAATTATACCTTAGTTTTGTATGAGCTAGTCAGCATTGTGGAGCAGCAAAACATAATTGCAGAAACTCTGGACACAATCAATTGCTCAGACTCCACTGATGCATCATTCAAAACTCCATTTGAACCTCCCAATGGAGGAGGAGACTCCTTTCCTGGTTGAACCAATAATGAAATTGCCTGTTTACCTTTTGTCTCTGCAGAACATGTCAAAGCCACGTCAATTGATGTTCTGAGACGTGAGAAAAGAAAAAAATAGCACACAAAGCAGATGAACAAAAGGAAAAGAAGATAAAGTTTACCTTCTTCTAGACCTTGGAAAAAGTTATTCAAATGCATGTTTGCAGAAATTAAAAGCTTCTGCATCATCAACGACCAGCTCCCTTCGTCCCCCTTAGCTTTCGGAAGCAATGCTAGAAAGTGAGAGAGTTTCTGAAAGTTGACCATTAAGCAAATAAGTATTTTGCTTCATCATTTGCTTGCTTAGTTGATGTAAACGCACAAAACGAGAAAAAATGAAGACTACCTTTAGCATATTATCACTGGTTTTCCCACAAAATATTTTGGAAGCAATGGCTGCCTCAACCTGCAGGTAAGAATTTATGTCAACTAAATATGATCGTGACATGAATAGTAAGCAAACTATTACCGTATAAAGTTTGTCAATTGTCACTCAACTAGAGACATAGGCTTAAAATATGCAACTGCTGGCACTCCACACACAATGTACAGAACCTTTCGATCAACATTTTATGTATTTCTAGCAAATATGTTACACAGAAAGCTCACCTTGTCATAATTGCTATAAAGGGCAGCTGGGAAGAAGATTACAATTGTGCATAGCAGATGAAGAGCTCCTTCCTGCCAATAGCAAAAGACAAATTAAGATTGAAGGCTCAAGCAAAGACATGAGAAAAAAATGGTCGATGATAAGATATATATGACAACTCTCATAACAATTGTCATAGCAATTCCGGAATCCTATGTGAGCTATACAGCACAACTAGAAAGCGTTAAAAGATCCAATTCAATAGCTAACTGAAATAAGCACGGGAATCAAATTTTGTAGTAGTTGGAAACATCACAATATAGTCTTTTGCATCCTATCATCAGGAAGTTACACAAGAAACACATGGACTCAATTGTAGAGTATGATGATCCTCCATGAGATCAGTGTTATCAATGGCGTATGGCGCTCCATGGCGTCAACCCAAAAATAGGCCATAGATATATGGCGTTCCGCCATAACGGATTATGGCGTTTATGGCGGATAAAAAAATTATTAGTATATTTATAAGTATAAAATAAAACAATACCATTATATAAGATTATAACAATTATAATAAATCTTTCCTAGTTTTTTTTTATATGTAAATTGAAATTATAACTAACAAGATTTGATTTTCAATAGAATTTATATTTAATTGTTTAAACTAGTTATGTGTTAATTTTAATGTAACTGAATTAAATTTATATAAATTAAGTAAAAAATAAAATTTTAAATTAGTTTTCAGTTTTTGTTTTAAACTATATAAATTTAGTTTTATATAATTTTTAATAATGAGTTAAAATTATTTCAATGAATGAACTTCATTAAAATATTATTATTATTATTAATTTTAATTATAATTAATCTATTAATTTTAAATTAATAATTAATAATAAAATATAAAAAAAATCAATTTATTTAAGTATTATGTATCATTAGGTATCCTCTTAAAAGTATCTTCACCCACGTGCCTTTTTACTCTCCCCAACCCAGCCACTTCCTCTCTCTCCTTGCCTCTTTTTCTGTCATCATCTTTCTGCACATATCTAGGTTTTTTATTTCTCACTAACATATCATCGGACATGTCGCTATCACTAACAGAAGGCGCAGAGACAGAGGTATGCGCCCTATCTTACTAAGTTTCCGCCATGGCCCGCCATGACGCTATGTCGCCATGCCGCAATTGCGGCCGCTATGGCTAAAACGCCATTTTCGCCAGGCCATCTAAAAACCATGGCGAAGACTTGAAAATCCGCCACGCCATGGCGCCATGGCCGCTATTTAACAACACTGCATGAGATTCGGACAGATAGATGCATTCCACGCCTACACATCCTAATCTAAATGACACAATTTCAGAGTTCAGACAGATGAGTGCATTCACCCACTTACCCATAGTGCTTCTGAAGCATCCTCGTCCAAAAGCTTTATGATGGGTTGGATAAGTTTCGAAGCATGTGAAACTGCATCTTTTTTTGCATGCGGAAATCTAGCCAACCTGTTCCAATCAAAAGAGCATCAACAAAATGAGTTCACTGTCCACCCTTCCTGACTGGTCTTTTAGATTAATTGCTCAAATCGTTAGTGCATACCGATACGAAAATTCCATAATTAACAAGCTTAGAAATAGCTCCCTAGAGTCAAATAATTTAAACTCCATAGCCATTCTGTTTAAACCGATGACAGGCTTTCACTGATTTTTTGGAGGAAAAAAAAAAGAGATCCGCAAAATATGAAAGTGAAGGTATCGAATATCAGAAAACGGAAAAGAAAATCCATGTGATGCAACACTACAAACCTTGTCAGAAGATCTGAAATGGAGGTACAGGAAGCCACTCTAACAATTCTAGAACCTCCTGGATTCTGCTAGAAATACAAAAATGACAATATTTTCAAAATAATCAGTGGATAATGATGAGAAAAAGCCTTGAATGGCAGGGAGAATTAAGGCAGAACAATCTTGGTGTAGAACTAAGATGCATACCCGAATATGTGATAGCATCGTATCAAACCAAACAGAGTAGGAAGTAAAGAATCGATCAGAGCTGCATTCTTGACAGGTTACTCCCATCAAACAGATACCTGCCCAGCTTTTATCTGGCTAAAACAAATAAAAGAAAAATGGTTCACATGTATAGACAAAGAACACATCAACAAAGAAATGCATCCATCTGGAACAAGTACAGAGGCAAGATGAACATATGGAACTTCTAATGTATATTTACTCCAGAAAGAATAATTGAAACGAGCGGTCAATTGACCATGGATTGCGAGCATATATAAACATGACCTATAATTATATCAGTCTTGTGAACATATTCCCTTCTTGTATAAACACAGAGATCAACTAAAATATGTACTCAGAACCACTAACCTATTTCTTCCCGCACGATTTTATGATACCTGACTCACCCGTAGAACAACCGGAATCACCACTTTACTACCTGGGTCTAACCAAAATCCAAATTTCCCAACGGCTCTGGATTAAAAATTTAAACTTCAGAGCTTCCAAAGCGCGAGAAGAGAAGACTATGATAACAACCAAGTCAAAAAAACAACATGGGCTGCAGAAACTGAGAGCTTGAGTGCAACGACAAATCAGAACCAATGCAGGATTAAAGAAAAGTGTCTGCTTTTTAGCTATAAACTTCAACACATTGATTATAGCATTTTAAAAACAAAAACTTTGGCTAATCGATACCAGCACACGAAGTGTAAATTTCATTCAGAGCTAATGCATAAAAAAGTATCAATCGATTCAAAACCACAACAAAAGAGAAAACTTTCAGCCCATACCCAGTAATCTAATTCTGAAAACTTTCCCTAGCAATAACTATGAATCCCAAAAGCAGACATTAAGACCAAATTCGTACCAAATTTGAAGAAACAAGTGTCAACAACCGATCAACCCAATCATCAACGACCGATTTCCATTTCTCAATGAGCTTTTGCTCCGTCGTCTCCGTCGAAGATTCCGATAATAGCCTATGGGTCTGGATACTCGACACAACCTTCGACAGTGATAGAGGATTCGACAGAGGCTGCTTCTCGTGCGGAACATGTTCGGACAACAGATTCCGGAGAATCCGAGGCTTCAGTCTCACATCGCTCACGCCCTCAAATCGCTCGAAAGCCGCCATTGTGCCGCAGCGAAAGAGACCAGTTGCAAGGGCTTTGCCCGGAAAATTAGGGTTTTAGCGCTGCAGCTTCAGGGTTTCTATTCTTTTTTTCCCCTCTTTTCTATCGTCGGGGTTATCTGAAAACACCCTGTACTTTCTTACTTACACATTAAAGCCCCTTTACTTTTAAGTATTTAAAAACTGACCTCTTAGCTATGCATTCTATCAAACAACCCCCGCAAACACCGTTAAGACTACAATCACGTGGCCGACGCCGACGGAACGATAGTGTTGGGAGGTCAAACCGAAAAAGAAAAAAAAGCATTATTTTCTTTTCTTTTAGTTTCAATTTTCACAAAATTTACTTATTTTATAAAAATAATTATTTTTTAGATTTTTCATACAAACTTTCTCCGAAATCGAACTAAAAAATATGTGCATTTCATTAAGATAACATAACTAATTAACAATAAAAAAGACAATACAAGCAAAACACAAGAAATTTCATATAAATAGGTTACATGATCCGTGACGGATCTAAAAAGAGATATTATTTTAGGGTAAATTTATTTTTTACTATGAACATTTTTAATTTTATGCGGACTAATAGAGAGATAGTTTTATCGGTTTAGTAATTTTTCTTTTCGTTTTATGGTTGATTCCGGTTTAGTTTATTTTGGTTTTCTGGTTTGCTGTATAAAACTCAGTTTCTTTTCTATTTTTGAAATATCAGAAAATTGTTCCAAAATTGCTTTGTTTCTTCTCTCTCGAATCTTCCCAGATCTGGAATTACAAAATGGTATCAGAGCCCCAAATCAAGTTTTTCTTTCATCGATCTTCGTTTTCTTTTCGATTTTTCCTTTGAATCGCTTGATTTTCTTTTTCGACGATGTTGCATTCTGAGGATTCTGTACCTCAGAATGTTTCTGGTACTACTGCGGATTCGGTGTCTGCACTCGATCCGTATTTGAATCCACTTTATCTTCATGATGCTGATAATATGAGCTTACAACTCGTAACTTCAAAGCTCGTTGGTGAGTCAAATTACAATGTGTGGTCGCGACTTGTTTAGAAGGCTTTGCGCTCGAAGAACAAGCTCGGATTCATCTATGGAACGGTTCCTAAACCTGCATCCTCACATCCTACTTACGAGACATGGTGTCGATGTGATGATCTCGTCACTACTTGGATAGGTAACTCTGTTTCTGATGAGGTTGCCAGTATGATTGTTTATCTGGATTCTGCTAAGGATGTGTGGAGGCATTTAGAGAAAACGTTCAAGTTGAATAATGTTTCTAAGATCTATAATATTCAGCAGCAGTTAGACAGTATTCATCAAGGCTCTATGAGTTTAGCGAATTACTATAATAAGCTAACTTCACTTCTGGAAGAATTGAAGAATTTTGAGCCATTTCCTTCTTGTACATGTACTGGATGTACATGTGGTGGATGACTGTACTCGGGTTGTATGGATTTATCTGTTGGTAAATAAAAATGATGTTTTGTTCAAGTTTCCAGAGTTTATAAATATGATTGAAACACAGTTTTCTGCTCATATAAAGTCAGTTCGAAGTGATAATGCTCCTGAGCTCAATTTTACAGATTTATTTGCTAAGAAGGGCATTATTCACTATCGTTCTTGTCCTTATACGCCTCAACAAAATTTTGTAGTTGAGTGTAAGCATCAACACGTTTTAAATGTAGCCCGAGCTTTGTATTTTCAATCAAACATTCCATTGGTATATTGGGGTGAATGTGTTTTAACTGCTGTTTATCTCATAAATCGAACACCAACTCCTGTTTTAAACAACAAGACACCCTTTGAAGTTTTGATGAACACAAAACCTGAGTATACACATTTAAAAGTTTTTGGATGCTTGTGTTATGTTTCGACACAAGTTAGGGATCGTCATAAGTTTTCACCTCGGGCTAAAGCTGCTGTGTTTCTTGGTTACCCTAGTGGTGTTAAAGGATACAAGGTTTTGGACTTGGAAACTAATCAGATTCTGATTTCCCGGAATGTTGTTTTTCATGAGACTGTCTTTCCATTCAAAGCTTCTGATGCTGTTACAGATCATTCTTCATCTTCTAGTTCTTCTTTATCACCTTTCTTTTTGTATGATGATTCTGTCTCAGCATCTCCAACTTCAAACATTCCTAGTCCTTCTGAGTCTGAGTTGTTGTCCCCTGTATCTTCAGATTCTTCAGATTCTTTTATCCAACATTCTTCTGATACTGTGATGTGAATGATGCTGCATCTATTGGGAATTCAGATAGACCACAACGGCTGGTTAAGACACCTACTTATCTTCAAGACTACTATGTTTACATGCTTACCCATTCTGAACCTCCCACAGAAACAGCCAAAACCCCATATCCTTTGTCTTCTGTTATAACCTTTGATTCTTTGTATCCAACCTATAGAAAGTTTGTACTTTCTGTAGCCTCACACCCTGATCCCAAAACCTATAAGCAAGCTGTACAGAATGATCAATGGAAACAAGCTATGCTTTCTGAACTTGATGCGTTAACAAGGACAAAGACTTGGTCTGTTTGTCCATTGCCAGATGGTAAACATCCCATTGGCTGCAAATGGGTGTTTAAAACAAAGTTTAACCCTGATGGTTCCATTGAGAGACATAAAGCAAGGTTAGTAGCTAAGGGTTATACTCAAGTAGAAGGCATTGATTATTTAGAGACATTTAGTCCAGTGGCAAAGATGACCACTGTTCGACTCCTTCTTGCACTGTCAGCTTCGCAGAATTGGTTTATACATCAGCTTGATGTATCTAATGCCTTCTTGAATGGAGACTTGTCTGAGGAAATTTTCATGACATTACCTCCAGGTATGCTGAGCTTAAGGGGGAGTTTATTCCTCCTGGTTATGTTTGCAGATTGCAGAAATCTTTGTATGGCCTCAAACAGGCATCAAGGCAATGGAACATCAAACTATCTCAGGTGCTGATTGAGGCAGGTTGTATTCAATCTAAGTCTGATCATTCCCTGTTTGTTCTGAAACGGGAAGCTTCTATTGTGGCTGTATTGGTGTATGTTGATGATATCTTGGTGGCTGGTAATTCTGAGTCCTTGATTTCTGATGTTAAATCTGCTTTACATCAAGCCTTTCAGACTAAATATCTGGGTAACTTGCAATATTTCTTAGGATTGGAAGTTGCTAGATCCAAGTATGATATTTCTGTTTGTCAAAGGAAGTACACTCTTGAGTTACTGGAGGAATTTGGCATGCTTGGTTGTAAACCAGCATCCACACCGATGGGCTTCAGACATAAACTTTCTTCTGATTCGGGTGAGTTGGTTTCTGATGCTCTGCAGTACAGAAAACTCATTGGTAAGCTGATCTATCTTGGTATTACAAGACCTGACATTTGTTTTGCTGTAAACAAATTAAGTCAGTACATGTCTCAACCTAGATCAGATCATTTGCAAGCTGCTTTTCGAATTCTGAGGTATCTTAAAGGTTGCCCTTCGCAAGGTTTGCTGTATCCAGCTGCAAATGACACTCGTTTAAGTGCGTATTCGGATGCGGATTGGGCTGCTTGTCCGGATTCAAGAAGGTTAGTGACTGGCTTTTGTGTTTTTCTTGGTTCGGCCTTAGTTTCTTGGAAGTCGAAGAAACAGGTCACCATTTCTCGAAGCAGTGCTGAGTCCGAATATAGAGCTTTGGCACATACTACTTCTGAGTTGTTATGGATCTCATCTGTGCTCCATGAGTTGCATGTGGATTTTTCGAAACCTGTGACTTTGTTTTGTGATAGTGTTTCGGCAATTCACATTGCAAATAATGCAGTTTTTCACGAGAGGACCAAGCATATTGAGTTGGATTGCCACTTTGTGAGAGATCAAATCAAGCTTGGTTTCTTGAAGCCTTTGCATGTGTCCTCAAAGGATCAGTTGGCTGATGTCTTAACTAAACCGGTGTATGTCGAGAACTTCCAGCAACTTGTTTCCAAGATGGGAGTTCATTCCTTGACCTCTCCATCTTGAGGGGGAGTAATAGAGAGATAATTTTATCGGTTTAGTAATTTTTTTTTTTCGGTTTATGGTTGATTCCGGTTTAGTCTATTTTGGTTTTCTGGTTTGCTGTATAAAACTCAGTTTCTTTTCTATTTTTGAAATATCAGAAAATTGTTCCAAAATTGTTTTGTTTCTTCTCTCGAATCTTCCCAGATATGAAATTACAAAACAGACATTTTATAATTTTAATTAAAATTTTATATAGTTTATATAGAAAATAATTTTTTTTATTGATTAAATGGGGACATGTACTCCATATAATTCAACGTAGATCCGCCATTGTATACGATAGATTTTTTTTTTAATGGGTAATCAAAGATGGAGTCAAATTATAATTTTTGAGACCAACTTTTTACCATTTCGTGTGCTGATACAAAGATGAATGAGGATTAATTTAAATATTTAACGTTTAAAAATAACGGTTTATAATTGAACGTCATTTAGGACAGTCCGTGGACTATCCAAAAAAAAAATAGGATCGAACCTATCTTGCATTTTTAGAGAAAAATTTCGGATATATTTTCTCATGATTTGAAAATCTTTATATTTTGTTATAATTATTCTTTTCGTACCGACAAAAAAATAATTATAATTATAAAGAATGCGCGTTAGAGATTACCATGTGAATCACACGTTTATTTTATACAGATCGGTGACCACTCGTGACCCTATCAAATATTGCCATCGAATTGATTTATCGCTTGCGTGGTTACACAAATTACCAAAAAAAAAAACGTATTTATTGGCTTTTGTATTTTTCTCCAAAAGGAGCATATTTAAATTCCAATATGGATATTCTAGAAATAATAAATATTACGAATAATATAATGAAATGGTATCGCTCCACAATTTATATATATTTAGTTTTTTGTTAAAACAATTTATATCTATTAAGTTTAAGCATAAACATTATATTTAGTGTTTGTGGTATACAAGTTATGTTGCGAAATCTTAATATTGCAATGAGATCAATCACATATCCTCATAAATCAATATGTGACTTATCGATTATGGGTTTGGTTGCTCCAAAAATTGTATTTTTTGTTAGA